AGTTTAACTTCTAAACTTCCTTCGATGATTGTGTATCGTCGTTAAATTGAATAAATTAAACTATCCCTTGTCTTAGCACAGTATATCAAATCATATATCTTGTGTATGGCCTTAGTGCAACAGTGGCACGAAATGGGGCACCATTTGGAGCACGGTAAAAATAGCCAACTCAAGTATAGATCTCCTACGTGCCAATATGATATGCTTTGTGATTGGATCTGGAATTATATACGGTATTCAATATTCAATATATCTATTCAGTATTCAATATTCTCCTAGGTTTTGGAGGCTGGCTTAGCTCCGGCCAGATCCTGGCCTAAGCTCCGAAGAGGAAAACAATACAAAACCGCAAGTTTTTGGTTTTACCACACTTTTTTCATTTTCAGAGCACGAAAAAAATGATAACAAGAGCACGGACTTTCAACATAATTGAGACCATACAGCACGATTTGGCGCACGATAAACCGAGAATAAAAGCACGCATTGGAGCACGATTTGGTGCACGACAAACCGTGAAAAAAACCGCATTGGAGCACGATTTGGTGCACGACAAGCCAAGAAAAAAAACACGCATTGGAGGAAACAATTTACTGGACATCCGGTTTCGATTGATTTCACATGTGTTTGAAGCAGTTTATTTCTGAAAGGAAAATTTGGTACCCTAAATGGTGGTATCTTCGGTGCTTCCTCTATTTAAACTTATCTTAGGAAAAGCACGCTTTTTAGCACCATTTGGTGCACGAAGAAATCAATTCAAAATACAAATACCAATCCTCAAGTTTTGTCAGTACCACTACCAATAGTCAATACCTTCATGGAAGATTGCACTCAGAGAAACCACCAGCAACAATTTCCCAAAAGACACACCAGGCCAGGAACCACAAAGTAGAACACGATTTGGTGCACGACAAACCGCGAGAAAAAGCACGCATTGGAGCATGATTTGGTGCACGACAAACCGCAAAAAAAAAAAACACGCATTGGAGCACGATTTGGTGCACGACAAACCGAGAAAAAAACATAATAATAATACATATAACTCGTGCTCCAGCACAGCAGCAAACTTATTAAACTAGCAGATGAACTTTGATGGGAAGTTTGGATATAGTGTATGATTCATGTTTGATACTTGATATGGTTGTGATTCCCGATCCCAAATGGTCTTGAGAAGTGATTCCCATGTCATCTTTCTCCTAATCTGATGTGTGCAAACCACCACGTGTCTACATTGAGCAGAATGGACGGGCTTTGTTTCAAAAATTTTGAACCATGGTGTCCCACTTTGAAATAATTCTCAAGCAAAAAAAATGAGCATGTCCCCAGGCCCAACAATCCTTGAGGAAAAATAACTTGATTTTAGGGTGCTCCTTTTGGGGTGGTGTTTAGTAAGGAACCCTTTTACTGACTGTTACAATATTTAGGAATCACACAACATATATATGTATATATATATATATTATATATATATATATATCATATTTAAAAAAACACATCAACATAATACAGCATATTCGCGTAAGAAATGGCGTTATTGAATGCCTTAATGGGCCGGTTAACATCTCCCGGCAAAACAATGGTCACCTCCGGTGTCGCCAAGCTTCGAGGAGCTTCGAGCCAGTGAAGGTCGACCTCCTCTGCTAGTCCTGGGGAGGGGAGGTAACATGGGAGCTTTAAGTGGAGGTACAGAAGATGGATTTGTTCTCATCTACCTTCTGACAATCTGACAATACAATACAACCCGGCTTTGTAGAAAAAACACATCCTCATTGAACTATGATTTCGTATTGAAATTATTGACATTGGATTCTTTCGGGCCAGGCATGTTCGATGAAACTGATACTCCTGCTCCTTCGGAAAATATATTCAACATCTGGTTCTGACTTGGTGGCAGAAACCAGTTAGTAGCTTCTATCATCTATGATCTTCTGACTTCTGCCCCTGGCTTTGTTAATCGGCTTTATGAGGTTAATCCACTTTCAGTACAACTGGGGTAAAATAATCTACGATTCCGCCAGGAGTCGAGGATGCGGCGTCCATGATCGAGCGCCGCGCAGCTGTTAAGCTCGTAGAGTTCCTCGTGCCACGTGGTGAAATGTTCATTCCCTTTAAGGGGAGCCCTCCAGCTTACCAACCAACACTAAGGGCAAATCTTTAGCATCTATGACTGGGGGAGATGGGGTCCACCATTCTGTGTCCAGTGAGTTCTGTCAAACAAATGGTCAAACATCTCAATATATAGTCACGTAGTATGTATCTATGTGTCTATGTGTCTATGTATCTATGTACCTATGGATCTGTGTAGGTATGTAGGTATGTAGGCATGTAGGTATGTATGTAGGTATGTAACGGTATGTAGATATGTATGTAATGCATGTATTGCATGCAATGTATGTAATGCATGTAATGTCTGTAATGTATGTAATGCAATGCAATGGAGTGTAGTGTAGTGTAATGTAGTGTAGTGTAATGTAGTGTAGTGTAATGTAATGTAGTGTAGTGCAATGTAATGTAGTGTAGTGTAATGTAGTGCAGTGTAGTGTAATGTAACATAGTGTAGTATGTAGTGTAATGTAATGTAACGTAATGTATGTACGTATATGTATGGATGGATGCATGTTTGCATGTATGCATGTATGCATACAAATGGAAGCATGGAAGCATGGAAGCATGGAAGCATGGACGCATGGAAGCATGGAAGCATGGAAGCATGGAAGGATGTAATGTATGCATGTATGCATGTATGTAGGGCCTGGAGGTTAAAAAAAAACAAAACACAACGAACAAACAAACAAACAACAGCATCCCCAAACGTTTGTCTATGTTCACCCATCCAACTGTACATAGATCCCACTACCCGCCATGGATTCCCGGAGGGGAACCCGGCCTTAGCTGCACAATCTCTAGGATGCAGGTGTCAACCTTCGCCGTTAGCTGATCCAACTTGGCATCCTCCAGGCACAGTGGAAAATGTCCAACTAGTATTATAAATCTATATTAAATATATGGCATACTTATCTACATATATATAAATATGGCATATATAATCATATATATATATATGGCATGTAAATATATTTATAACTATTATATATATATTTATATATATATATATATACATATTATATGCTATTATATACTCAACCGGGCTGCATGTCTATGATTGACCGCATAGTATCTATAAACAATCCTGGGGGATACTATCATGAAAATTGTTTACCATGGAAATGATCGCTGGGCACCTATGCGGCTACTTTAAGCAAAGTGGGACATTTCAGACTTATAGACTTTTCAGGCGAGGTGGATTGAGCCAACAAACGATTTCAAGTGCCACTTGACCAAGATGAAGCCTTTGGTGTCAAGATGGGGGGAGTTCTTGCCATTCTTGATTGAGGAAATCAACCAGCTTGACTTACAAAATGATAGAAAAAACCTGGATTTTCCTGGCTGCCAACATGGGCTATCAAGGGAAGATTGTCCCAAATCCCGAGGAAAACTCCTGGGCAAACCCCTGTAACGGTGGGGCCAAAACTGGAAACAAGTTGATTGGGACTCTAACCCATCTGCGACGAGCCCTAACCTTAAACTGCCAAAGTGGTCGGAATTTGTTGGCACCTTGGCACTGTTGCGTCAAGGTGTGGTAACAGTATAGCGATTTCTTCAGTGGAATAGTTTGGAGCATATTCTGCTGAGCAAATCCAAGATGATCAAAAGCATTGTTGGTTTGCTAGTGGACTAAATGGTTTATATACTGGCTTACTTGCTGAAGCAACATGCGGTTGAAGACAATGACAAGCATTGTCTTAGCTAAAAAAGTTTAAAAAAAAACATGTTTTTTTCTCAGGGAAACAGCTTCAATGTCAACATAGCTGTTTGCCGCACTATTGAAAGTCAACCTGTGACTTTGGCAGAAAGTCAAGGCCATCTGGAATCATACCCGTATGCAGCACTTTAAAACTATATAGATCTTTCACCCAAACGACTCAACAAGTCGTAATAGACTTGCACAAAATCCCTGGCTTTATCCAAAAAAAACTGCAGTCATACCATTCAATATAGCCCAAAGAAAGATGGTATTCAAATACATAATATTCAAATGCAAGTTGTCCATTCCATGGCAGATAAGCCGGGTCCAGATCATCCAGGGCCAAAGTCTTGGGCTTCCCGAGGTCACCGGCTGACCTGGGAATTCACGTGATGTTTCGTCCAAAAATCGATTGGTAAATGGTGGACAATTTTGGAACATCCAAAATGGCTTGGAACATATTGGATCGCCAAAACAACAGGTTTTCAGTGCGGAACTAACATGATGACAAATTGAATTTAGGGGTAGCCTTTTTTCAGACAAACCTAAGTCGACTTCTGAAACAAGACCAGCTAAAACACTGCACTCGCTTTAGGGCAGAGATCGGTTTTGCTCTGGGTGCCGCAGCTAGTGTGTCATGATGTTGGCTCCCACTCACCTGGATCTATTTGTTGTGCTCCTATCAAGAGCTAGGGCCACTGATAGCAGTGCTGGTGATGCAAGCGGATCGATATCCACGATGGAAATTATGCCAACCATCACCAGCTCCAAATGTGGGAGAACTGTTCTGCCAAGATACTTGTCACCTTCCATCGTGTCCTGATGCGCTTGAGACACATCCGAGATGATGGATAGCACTAGCATGCCCTAGCTCAAGCAGCCACCACTCCACCACCAATGACGGTGTGATGACAACAAAAATTATGCCAATGTACAGTTCTTGGCAACTCTCAAAAGCACAAATAAGTAATTTACCACCATGTTGAGGTATTCAACTTGTTCTTTCCATCTTTATGGGGGTTGCTGTAGGATTTGGGGGCTAAACATGTCTCAACCACATGAATGGCATGAAGCAAAATAGAAAAGGCTCGCAGCAAGTCTAATGGACCAAGGAGCACTTCCGGATCCACAAGTCACAAGTAGTCGCAAACCAATGGTTCAATGGCTTGACTTCGGAAGTATATCTACTATGTCGACAAACGTAAAACAATGCGTCTCTTTATCGGAAAGTGCTGGATTCCTGTCGGGCTGTAAAATGACTGGGCTGTGACCAGCATTCTTTATCACCTTTGGATTGTAGATTCCCAGCCAACCAGCACCAGGGCATCTGAAAAAACTGTGGTTTTGCCTGTTGTCAACATTAGCTTCAGGAAAACGGCCAACTCTGAGCTGCTACCTGCGTAGATGCATAACTCAGAGACAAGGCATGAAATACTGGAAATCTGGCACGGCTTCAGGGGTGACCTGTGTTGCATCACCTGAAAACAGTCTGCTGTGTACCCCAAAACATCCCAAAACTATATTGTCTTGATGTTTGATAGTTGCCGTAATAGAATAGACGTTTATGGCTAAATTTGGGACAAACCAAATAAAAAACATTTTTGTTGGCCCAAATTTAACTCATGCCATGACTCTCAATCCTCGCTGCGACAAATGATCCAAGGATATCCAAGGTCTCATGTTGTTTTTCTCTCAAACCGACCTGGGAACAAAGTACCTTAAAATGTGCGAGAAAAGACTCACGCGAACATTTTTATAAACTCATGTTATATATATATATAATACAAGTAGATATAGAATGATGTAGATATAGGGGACCATACTGTACTTGTCACATCCTATCTGCTTCGCATCCATTCCACACCTGATGCTTTGGGGAGGCACTTCCGGCAGGACTTGGATAACGATCCCATGGGGTTGCACCATCGTACAATCTATTTTCACACAGAAATGACAAATCTATCGCCTTACAATACCTTTAATTTCCTGGTGAAAGCATGGACTTTCCACGTGATATATAAATTTACCATACTCCACGTAAGGGAAAAATCTGTAGCAACATAGCCAACCTTTCACGGTCGAGTCTGGAGAGCGCATCGTCCTCCCCCTTAAGGGGGCTGGAAGACTGGGCAGTGGCTGGGGCGGGTCATGGTGACATTCCCCGATGGAACAAACTCCAAAAACGTTAAAAAACACATGTTAAAAACCAACTAATGATTACTAATGTGGTAAACCCATTGCCATAAATTACCTTACACTAGGGGCAAGCTTGCAACCTTACAAACCCCTCGGCAGAGAAAACCCTAAACCTCATAGGGGAACGCTGCATGAACTGCACCGCAAGGATTCGCAGTTAGGCCTTTGGCCGTTGAACCAACAATGCACCGAAGATGGTTTGGAAAGCTGAGCTGCTGAACCCAAGGGCTCATTCACAAGCGAAGAAACACCGTAGAGCTGACGTAGCAACAATAAAACTTTCTCTATTCAGATCTGCAGCATAGAAAACTGCATATACAAATAGAGAGAGAGAGAAACAAAAAGAGAAAAGCAAATAACAGGATATCATGTTTGCATATGTTTGCAAGTTTATGATGGATATTTCAAAGATATTTCTGCAGATGTGTCGGTGAGCCTTCACCATTGCATTTGGAAAAAACAGTGTGGCAAAAGATGAACTCAGCTGGCGGATGCCAAGACATCGACCACGGACCATGCAGCAGGCTCCTCCAAAATACCACCGGAAAAGGAAAATGAAGTGGAAACAAACACTTAAACATATTTAAACATAACTTTCAGTCCCCTTCAATTTTTCTCCCATTTGCCGAAAATACTTTGGATATGGACACACTTTGTTCAACTTCAAAACATTGGCCTGTCTCGATTGGCGTCGCGGCCTGACCGTATTCCTTTCAAGGTGGCCCTGCGAGTTGATCATAGAACGTAAACAAGTAGAAAAGGTCACCCATGTTATATTTTGGCATACTCTTATTTTATAGTTATTATACCACAGCATATCAAAGTAACATCAAGTAACCAAAAATCCAGGTATGTCGATGGGTTGTGGCCTGGAGCGAGTTCTTGCTGAAGTAAATATCAAATTGGATCCAAAGGATAAAAAAACTGCGCATCATATCTCTACTGTATATATATATATATTACGTATAGACAAATAGATAGAACCAAATATAAATCAACTTCCATTCCAGGTGCATAACATGAAGAGGAAAAAACGTCTCTTGACAATGCTCAGCAACCTTTGCATCATCCATGGCAACCGCATGCAACCGCCGGCGAAGAAAAAAGCGTGCCACACTGCTCCATGCACCAAAAATGGCTGGTGGGACGCCACGTTTCAGACTTGGGAATGGTTCACACTGTGCCCAAATAGAACCGGTAGAGGGCAAGGTGGAGGCAACGAAGGCCGGGATGCAGAATTATGGGGATATAGATGCACACACACAGACACTTGCTCACACACACATATGTATATATATATACATATATGTATATATAAATTCAAATAATTAACGTATATGCACACATGGGTCTCTAAGTTTTGATTATGAGGCAGTTCATGCCGACCGTGGAGCATCAATAGGCCAATAGGCCCACAGTAGGGCAAATATTGGTAACTAACATAGCTAATACTAATCTTTAACATCTCAAACCATAGCAAGCCATGATTTTCTTGGAGTCCTGGAGGGTGGGTCATTGCTTTCTTGCCATGGCCACTTGTTTCGAACCATCAGGATTTCAAACCTGAATCTTCTTGACGTCACTGGACAAGTTTTGGCAGCCCCCGCCAACCCATGTGCTGGGACTAATTCAGACAAACCCCGGCAGCCAAATGCGATGTCTCTTGCTTGACCATTGTTGACCAGGTCACAAATTCCTTCAATCCAATTAAGAGAACTCCTTACCAAGCACACTCATATTCCAGTAAACACTCCTTGAAACCATGGTTTAGAGATTTATGCATAATTGGAACCATCATGAACCATCTAGGTCCGGTGGTGTTTAATAATATTAGGGTCATGGGATTACTCAGGACGTCAACTCCAAAAACCTGAAGACGTAGCAACTGATTGGCAAATTTACTTCCTGGAATCAAACTGTTGAAAAAGCAACAAATTTAAAACATGTGTATAGTAAGTGTAATCATGCACTACTATAGTCATCTGAGCATTTGCCCTTCCCCTTTGTACGGCCGTCGGACTTGCCACTGGGGAATGTAAATAAAAACTTTAGCTTGTCGTGCATGCGCTGACCATTGTGGTCAAATGCTGCAGCACTGCCATGCCTTTTTTTTGAACAGAGACGACCATGTCTGGTTTCTCTTGTTGCTCGCCAAACATGTAAATCCTAATGCCCGTTTTCATCCTTTTTCTAGAAGTGTGACGAAAACTTCGACCCAAAGCCCTAGGTCCTCAAAGTAGTGAAAACAAAATGATGGTGCCCGCCCCCGGTGGAAATTTCCAATCAAGGCTTTTCATGAGTTCAACAGTGGTGTACCTCAAAAGCATGGCAGCTCTGGGCGAAGAAACAAACGCAGCTCTGCAAAAAAACAGAAGCGCTATCACCGCCGTGACTTCTGTGGCTTTACCTGCCAGCTATCAACATGTTCCATCCACCTTGGTGCATGATGTCATTGAAAGAGCATACAATGTGTTTGGTGGTTTCTTGTTTTCTTGATTATCATGGTAATATATGATAACATATGGTAATATAATGTAATATATGGACATCTGGTAATATATGATGACATATGGTGATACATGGTATAATATAATGATATATATATATATATAATATGCAATATAGGGTAATATTAAATTATTTTATATGGTACTATATGCTAATGATGTCTGTTGTTGATGATGCTAACGCAGAGGCCTGAAATCATGCCCAAACGATGGTCGATGAATATGGGTTTTATTCGGAAGGTGTCTGATCTCGGCAGCACAGGATGTACGGCGGCAGCGTCGTAGAGCTTAATTCTGAATTATGCCTGGTGTGTGGTTGAGCCCTCTGAAAAATATCAATTTCAGTTGGGATCATCCCAAATTTGTAAGGTGTTAATTTCAACCACCAACCATGGAGTGAATGAATTATGTGGAACTCGGACCTTCCAAATGAAATCTTTCTGGCGCCCGAGATGAACGAAATTGCAGGGTATAGAGTATGTCATCCAACAATTAGCCTTAAGGGATCTGAAAGACATGATATCTACAATCCAGAGCCCACATTCGGGAATATGATGGAATATCCATACTCTGTTTCTTTTCTTTGCACCATCAATGATTGAAACACTTGATAAGTGCCCCATCCAGTCACTGGGAGCTATTCAGAAACCCGGGATGACACACGCGCGTCGTAGTCCGCAGTCGGCTAGTCGGCTAGTCCAGTTCCGCGCTGTCTGAGCGTCGAACCTGGAGCCGCTAGGTATGGACACCACCAGCAAAATTGGTTGATACCCTCTGGTAAACTAACATAGCTATGGAAAATCACCATTTTCAATGGGTAAATCCACTATAAATGGCCATGTTCAATAGCTATGTTAAATTACCAGAGGGTACTGTTTGATTTTGGAAACCTGGTGATCTGATGGTCTCATTGTTGCAATGATGATTAATGGTGGGTTGCTTCCAGTCACCAGAATTTTATATCAATACCATGTGTTACAACATGTTACATTATTTCCCATCTTCCGGTCTTTCCCCTGGGATTTAACTGAACTAGTTTTTTTTCTATTTTCCAAAGAAAAAAACATCCCTTTGCACTTCCTGGAAATAGAGTCCACCGGGGCAAGGCCTTTCACCAAGGAACCGCCTCTAAGTGATTGAGGGCTTCATGAATCCGCTGCCCTGCGTTCTGAATGGTCAGGCGGCTCGTTTCCTTGACGGAAAATGGGGGCAGTGTTTGAAGTTTTCGTGCAACAATGTGCAAACACAGCTGCTCCAACCAAGAGAACGTCCAGTATTCGAAAACAACAAACAACAGCAGCGTTGCAATACCTGATCCTATGGAAGGACATGAATCTAACACTGATGTGGGACAGCGCCTGAGTGTGAGAAAAATGTGTGCGCACGCGGTCACGTTCTTCTTGACATTGGAATGTACTGCATATGTGCATATATATGAGCAATCTCGAAAACCCTAGGTTCACGGAAAGGACATCCACAAATTTGGGAAGGTCCCATCGCTTACCACACGTTTGTACAATAATGATATATGGTAAACTTGGGGGGTAACGCTTGCAGGAAACTGCTACTTTTTTGTATATAATTCACAGAAATCAATGTCCAATTTGGGTATCGCTAATATGGATATTAGAGAAATACAATGACATAACCTTGAAAAGGGGCATCGCTAATTTGGGAAAGTCCCATCGCTTACCGTGTGTTTTTAACAATTTCCATCAATTTCCATAAGCCAATGTCCGTCCAATACATATTTAGTATTGCCGGGGTTTTTGCGGTGGCTCGTATATAGTCAGACATAGTCAGACTATATTGCGAGGACCATAAAGGAACACGTAATATACAGTATTGAGTTTGGTACCTGTAGCCACCATTCCAGTCAGGTAGCATCCCTGCCCCCCCTTTTCACGGCTGACCTTAGATAAATACCTCACAAAAGACAAGCTCCTGGTTGGATACAGTAGGGCTCGTCAAATTGCCAACATCAACAGCTTACAAACAAAGCACGGTTTCTCTCCGTTTTTTCCCAGTGTCCTGCACATATTCTTCTGGAAAGATTTGACGCAAGAATTCACCGTGATCGATCTGACCATTCCTTGGCTTTGCAGAATCAAAACCCACCCAAAAATGAAATCTCTTACATGCATTCATACATACATACATACATACAGACATACAGACATACAGACATACAGACATGCAAACATACAGACATACAAACATACAAGCATACAAACATACAAACACACATACATACATGCATGCATGCATACATACATACATACATAATTACATACATGCATACATACATACATACGTACATACGTACTTACGTACTTACGTACATTGCATTACATTACATTGCGTTAAATCACATCACATCACATCACATTACATTACATTACATACATAACAAAACAAAACATAAAATAGCATCACATCACATTACATTACACACATAACATAACATAACATATCATTACATGGATATGGGTCAAAATTAGGTACCCCAAAATTATGGATGGTGAATACTAAACTAGACTAACATCTGTGGTCCCCTAGGTTTTCCAGTTTGACCCACATCCACATTACATTACATTAAATTACATTACATACACACATACATTACATACAGTACATTAAATTGCATTACATTACATTGCATTACATTGCGTTACCTTACATTACCTTACATTACCTTACATTACATACATTACATTACACTACACTACATTACATTACATTGCATTAAATTACATGAAACTACATTACATTGCAATACATTGCATTACATGAAATTACATTACATTGAATACATTACATTACATTACATTGCATTACATCACATTGAATTAAACTTCTTTGCAATACATTGCATTGCATTACATTACATTATATATAAGTATACATTGCATGACATTACGTTACATTACATTTCACTACAGTACATACATGTAAACATGCATGCATACATACCTACATTACATACCTAACTTAACATAACATAACATTACATTGCATTACATTGCATTACATACATACATACATACATTACATTACACTACACTACATTGCATTACATTACATTACATTCCATTACATACATACATACATACATACAATCATACATACATACATACACACATACATACATACATACATGCATACATACATACATACATACACGCATACACGCATACAGACATACACACACACATACACATACACATACACATTCACATGCATATACAAATATATACATTTACTTCTACATATACACATACATACATATACATCTACATATACATATACATCTACATCTACATATACATCCACATACATATACATAAATATACTTATACATACATATACTTATACGTACACATATGCATACACACAAACATATATATGTACATTTACAAATATGTATATGTACACATATACATACGTTACATACACACATACATTACATGCCACAACATAAAATGACATAACCAAACATAACATTACACACCATACAAACTTACATAGATTACATTGCATTACATTACATTAAACTACATGAAATTACAGTGAATTACATACATTACATACATACATACATGCATGCATCCATCCATCCTTCCATACATCCATCCATACATCCATACATACAGTACATTTCATTACATTAGTTCAGATTACATTACATTACATTGCATTGCATTACATTACATTACATACATTACATACATTACATACATTACAGACATTACATACATTACATACTCTACATACGTTACATACATTACATACATTACATACACTACATACGTTACATACATACATACATACCATAGCATAACAAAACATAACATAACATAACATTACATACAAACAAAACATACATTACATACATACAAAGCATACATTACATACATACATGCATGCATACGTACACACATACACACATCCATCCAACCATCCATCCATGCATGCATCCATCCATCCACCATACATACATACATACAAACATACATACACATTAATTACATACAGTCATTGCATACAATAACTACAAACATAAATGACATACATTAAATACAAACATTAAATACATACATTAAATACATACTTTAATTACATACATTAATTACATACATACATCCATACATACATACATATATTGATTACATACATACATACATACATAAATACATAAATACATAAATACATACATACTTACATACTTACATACATTACATTAATTACATACATTGATTGCATACAATAATTACATACATTTATTACACACATTAATTACATACATTAATTACATACATACAAACATACATACATACATACATACATTAATTACATACATTAATTACATACATACTTAGATACATACATTATTACATACAAACTGACATACTTACATACTTAAAATACATTACACTACATTACATTACATACATACAAACATACATTACATACATACATGCATACCATAGCATTCCAAAACATAACATTACATTACATACATACAGTACATACATACATACATTCATTCATAAATACATACATACATTCATACATACCTACCATTACATACATACCATTACATACATACCACTACATACATACCACTACATTACATTACATTACATTAGATTAGATTAGATTAGATTACATTACATTACATACATTACATACATTACATACATTACATACATTACATACATTACATACATTACATACATTACATACATACATACATACCATAGCATACCATAACATAACATTACATTACGTTACATTACGTTACATTACGTTACATTACATACATACATACATACATACAGTACTTACATACCATTACATACCATTACATTACATTACATTAGATGACATGACATGACATGACATTACATACATTCCATACATTACATACATTACATACATACATACATACATACATGCATGCATGCATGCATGCACGCATACATACATACATACCATACCATTGCATTGCATTGCGTTGCATTACATTACATTACATACATGCACACACATACACACACATACATACACACATACATACATGCATGCATGCATCCATACAACCATCCACCCATCCATAGATACATTACATTGCATATATACATACATCCATACCATACCAAAACAAAACATACCATAACATACCAAAACATACCTTAACATACCATAACATAACATTACATACCATTACATACAATTACATAAATACATTACATTACATTACATTACATTGCATTACATTACATTAAATCCCATTACATACATACATACATACATACATTAATACATACATACATACATACATGCATGCATACATACATACATACCATTACATACCATTACATACCATTACATACCATTACATACCATTACATACCATTACATACATACATACATACATACATTACATACATTACATACATTACATACATTACATACATTACATACATTACATACATTACATACATACATACATACATACATACATACATACATACATCGCATACATACATCGCATACATACATATTTATATATATGTACATATCCATATAGATCCCCCACATGGATCTAAATGCTCCAGTTAAATGGTAGATTTTCTGTTGGGAACGCAAAAGAATACACTCCGGCTGAAATGAAGCATGGATAGCTGGGGCCTGAACTATCTAGATAGAGGTTTCTAGCTGGGAAAGTCATCGAAGTAAATAAGGAATTGTCGAGCCATGTTTGATGACGCCGGAGGGTAACGTCCAAGTATATCATTGGTTATATCACCCATTATATATTAATATATACATATATTGGATGGTTAAATTCCCATTAAACACCATTAAACAAAACTAAACAGGGTGCATCCCAACTATTATCCCACGTATTATCGCAGTTATTATCCCTTTGAATCCCACTAATGTCACTAATCATTGGGATAATAATCTATACTTGATAGTATCATTATGAAAGGAATTCATCATGATTCATCTATAGAATCTTTAACTTTAGTAATCCATTCATGGGATGCGATCAATGCCATGTGATCGTATCCCATGAATTCAGCCCATCTCCAGTCGCAATGCGCCAGGAGTCTGATCAGTGTCAAAGAGAATAAAGAGATCCACCGCCTGGGCGCCAACGCATCCCTTCCCGCAGTGCCCGAAATTAGCCTTCTGTTGACACCCGGCAAAACTCACTTCAAAATTTCATATTTATATGTATATATATATTTATTTATTTATTTAATTGTATGGGGTTTCCCGTAATTATCACCTCTTTTTGAAAGACAACCATTCCAATACTGGGATGTATCCCTACCAGTTGCAACACCAACAAGGCGTTGCACAAAGATTTCATGAAAATCGCAAGGTCCCTACGAAAGGGTACTCCAACAACGGTGGTCTCCCAGACTCGGCAAACCATGGCCTGTTGTTGCACCACTCTTTGCACCAATAACTATGCTGAATGGGAGTTGTGGGCATATAATGCATGTCACGTCTATCTATCATGTAATGCAATATAATGCAGTGCAATTGATGGAATTAAATGCAATGCAATGTAGTGGAATGCAATATAACGCAATCTAATGAAATGTAATGCAGTGTAATTGAATGCAATGCAAGGAAACTTAATGCAACGCAATGTAGTGCATATAAATTATGCAACTTATTCTGTATGCCGAATGTACGTATGCAACAATATATGAATATATGAATATAATTATAGAATAATCTTATACATATGTGATCATGTGTGTGTGTGCATGAATATACAATATATTATAGTTCATTGTGGTTCATTGCTCTGGACGTGCCACGTGACCGGTGTTCCCGCCCGAAAATCGCGCACAGTGGCATGCTCCAGCGATATACCTACTCGCATCCTGCGCAGCTGCTGGATCCCAAAGCCGAGTTACTGTAAGTCATGGGGGGTCCCAAGTCACCACGGTTGTTTCAATAATAAGTCATGGTCATCCATGATTTGGGTGATTCATTTTGTACCAACAAATTTAGCACACCCCCATTTGCTGACTTGATCTGACTTGGAGGTGCCTGATGAGCACTTTTGAAAGTGTGAGCCCACGGTATCAACGTGCAAACCACTTGGTATAGACTAGATCAGTAGGCCAATGAAAAAAAAGGCAGCCTGGAGCGCAGCCTGCTTACATAGCTCCAAGAACAGGCCTCCCTACTCCCGACATTTTGAATCTTCTTGCAGTGTTTCTTGCGAATGTCCTTTTCACACCTGGGAACCATGTGAAACTCTATTAATGTCCTACTATGCTCACGGCCTTTGTAGAAGGCAGCAGCTTTGAGGTTGCAATGGTGACGCGGGTATGTCTGAAAAAAGGGTTCCAAATTGATTGATTGATTGATTGACTGAATGATTGGTTCATTCCTTCATTGAATCATTCATTCGTATTCATTCATTCAATCATTCATTTCATTCATTTCATTCATTTCATTCATTTCATTCATTTCATTCATTTCATTCATTTCATTCATTTCATTCATTTCATTCATCCATCCATTCATTCATTTCCATTCCATTCCATTCCATTCCTTTCCATTCCATTCATTCATGCATGCATTCATTCCTTTCCTTTCCTTTCCTTCCCTTCCATTCCATTCCATTCCTTTCCTTCCCTTCCATTCCATTCCATTCCATTCCATTCCTTTCCTTCATTCATTCATTCATTCATTTCTTTTATTTCATTTCAATTCTTTCATTTCATTTCAATTCTTTCATTTCATTTCATTTCGTTTCATTTCATTTCATTTCATTTCGTTTCATTTCATTTCATTTCATTCATTTCATTCATTCATTTCATTCATTTCATTCATTTCATTCATTTCATTCATTTCATTCATTTCATTCATTTCATTCATTTCATTCATTTCATTTCATTTCACTTCACTTCACTTCATTTCATTTCATTTCATTTCATTCATTCATCCATTTCATTTCATTTCATTTCCTTTCATTTCATTTCATTTCATTTATTTCATTCATTCATTTCATTTCATTTATTTCATTTCGTTTCATTTCATTTCATTTCGTTTCGTTTTATTTCATTTCATTTCATTTCGTTTCCATTTCATTTCATTTCATTCCATTCCATTCCATTCCATTTCATTCATTCATTCATTTCATTCATTCATTCATTTCATTCATTCATTCATTCATTCATTCATTCATTTCATTCATTCATTCATTTCATTCATTCATTCATTCATTCATTCATTCATTCATTTCATTCATTCATTCATTCCATTTCATTTCATTTCATTTCATTTCATTTCATTCCATTCATTCATTCATTCATTTCATTCATTCATTCATTCATTTCATTCATTCATTCAATCATTTCATTCATTCATTCATTCATTTCATTTCATTTCCTTTCATGTCATTTCATTTCATTTCATTTCATTCATTTCATTCATTCATTCATTCATTCATTCATTCATTCATTCCATTCATTCATTCATTCATTCATTTCATTCATTCATTCATTCATTCATTCGTTCATTCATTCATTCATTCATTTCATTCATTTCATTCATTTCATTCATTTCATTCCTTTCATTCATTTCATTCATTTCATTCCATTCATTCATTTCATTCATTCATTTCATTCATTCATTCATTCATTTCTTTCATTTCATTCATTCTTTCATTTCATTCATTCTTTCATTTCATTTCATTTCATTTCATTTCATTTCATTTCATTCATTCATTCATTCATACATTTCATTTCATTTCATTTCATTTCATTTCATTCCATTCATTTCATTCATTTCATTCATTTCATTCATTTCATTCATTCATTCATTCATTCATTTCATTCATTCATTCATTCATTCATTTCATTCATTTCATTCATTTCATTCATTTCATTCATTCATTCATTCATTCATTTCATTTCATTTCATTTCACTTCATTCATTCATTCATTCATTCATT